GCGTATTGTCTGTGTAGAAAATCCAAATTAATGTTTGGGAGTGGGTTCTTGCATGAGAGGATGCACGGGGATGATTTTTAGTCAAATACGTGCGTGTATGCGAATGAGGTCGTGAATAGGCACATTTGAGCGTGTTTACCGTGTGATGATCGACGTCTCATCTGTGCCTTCCTTATCACCAAAGCAAACATTCAACTGCCGATGGAAGCTTTCAGCGTTCCCTACACACGGATCCCAGTGGAGAAACTTCTCCAAACCCACTGGCACTGATGCATGCAAAGCAGACAAACATGTAGCAGCCTTTGTGCTATCACAAAGCATTGCTGTCATGAGCGTTTATAGGTCCGCCTTGTTAGGTGCGAAGCTTTGAAGTGTCTGCGGTTTGAAGGTGGGGCATGCCAAAAGTGCCCATTGTCGTGCGTGATGAAAGCAGGCCCTGACACATCCTAAATGAAGCCCCGAGGCTTCGAAGGCCCGCGGCTGGATCACAGGTCTGCCTCATGACTATTGTAGGGCTTGGCAGGAGAGTCAATAAGTGAGCTCTTCTCGCTCCTCTCTGATGCTCAGTGAGGAAGGAGGGCTCCATCTCATGTATACTCTGAGCCACATGGAAGAAACAAAGGTGCAAGTTTTCATGTAATCACGGACACAGTTTTATTTAGAATGAATTTCTGAAATGAAAAGGACTTGTCAAACTATTGTTGAAACATGGACGTGTATGCAAGTGCATATGACTTAAATGCAGATGGACAACGTGGTGAAAGATTCGGGTTGAGGCACTTTGGAATATATTAAAAGTGCCCCCGGAGCTATTCGAAATGCTAAAATGCCCAAATAAATAGCAGTGAGCGGAACTAGCGGTGAGTGGCGAGGAGCCAGCAGCGAGTCTGCTGCTAAAAAAGAGCTGGCGGCGGAAACATTGGCTGTCCATCATTTGTTTTTTTTCCCTTGCTTTGCAGCTAGACTCTTATCTCCATCCAAAATGCTACCAAAACAAAAGCCAGAACTTAAGCCAGAGTATGAATACATGACATTTGCACAGGTAAATGAACTCTTACAACAACAAAGTGATCTTTTCACAGCACTCTTGCACCAATAACGAGACCATTTTCAAGGTTTTGTTAAAATGATCCTGGACCCAAATAATGCACGAGTTGATAATATCACAAAGGAACTGCAAGAAGTGAAAACCAGTACACACTTTACACAGAAGGAGATGAATGACATGAACTCAAATTAAACAAACAGAACATTGTAAAAACATACATACGGAAATCTATAAGCTGTGCGACAAGCTACTCGTATTAACGGATGAAATGGACTATCTGGAGGGTCAATCGGAGTGGAGGAAACATCAGGAGAAACTTGATCAAACACTGCAGAAAAAGCATTGAAAAACTTTCAAGAAAAATGACATCTGCAACAGAGTGAGGCGGGCTCATTGCACAGGTAAAACTGAATCTGGAAAGCCCACATCCAGGCCAATTTTTAAGTTTGAAAAAAATAAAGCTAAAACAAGGATTCTACAGAGAGCAATGTATCTCAAGGGATCAAATATATACAGTACACAAATGATGACTTTAAGGAGTTATACACATTCTACTGTTCATCAAATAAATACTCAGTCTATAAATTACAAAAAAGAGCTATACGAATTATCAACTGTTCAAATAAAGTAGAACCACCAAAAAAAATAACAAAATCAACTGCCATATTCAGAAGCTGTTTGGAATTAGAGTTTGAACAAAAAGCCACAAGTGACTTTAAAAAACGAATGATACAAGCTAACAAAGCAATTGTGTGCCTCTCTGAACTTGTGGAATAATTACGAAAATGAATTGAAAACATGTGAATCACGTTCTGTTTTCAAAAGGAGGTAAAAAAATATAGTGTTTCAAAAATATATAAATCAGACATAAATATGAATAATATATATCCACACATGTTCAATTACTGTATATGAATCAGTTATACGAGCCAAGTTAATTGATAAGATGACATGTCTATAAAGGCTTTTTGTTTCTTTTTTATATACAGCATAGTGTGTATATTTGAAAGCGTTGGCCCACGCTGATATTTGTGCTAAGGAGCATGTTTCATTTGTTTTTGTTGATACTTTGGGCTCCTCTTTGCTTATAAATAACATACTAGTGTGATAATTTGATTTGAGAAACATCTAGAGTTCAAAGAGTAGGTGCAGATAAGTTTTTGTACTTCTTCCTCGTCCCTTTGAACATGTAAACTGCGTTGAACTATGACAACTATTGATGATTTTTTGTTCTTCCTATTTTTATTTTCATCTGGTAATGTAATATGTTCAATCAGTCAATCAATCAATCAATAGTCCAATCAATCAATCACTGATAGGCTCTGAATATAAGTATATTAAGATGGATATAGTTTCTCTCTCTCGCCCGCTCTCTCTCTCTCTCTCTCTCTCTCTCTCTCTCTCTCTCTCTCTCTCTCTCTCTCTCTCTCTCTCTCTCTGTGTGTATGTGTGTGTGTGTGTGTGTGTATATATATATATATACACACACACACACACACACACACACACCTGTACACACTTTTGTATATACAGTCTACGAAATCATGGATGCTCTCTAGTGGTGATCAGTGATATTACAACTTTAAACTACAGGTGACTCGTGCTTAATCGCAGTGCGCACCTACGGATTCGTATATTGGCAGATTTGTTCATTTTTTTATGGATTCTTCACGTTTTTTTTCATATTTCCCTGTTTTTCATGGAAAACGTCTATGTAGATTTTGGAATATTTTGGCTATAAAGGGTAAAAAAAGATGTATTTATTTATTTTTAAATTAATAAAGTCCTCTCTCAGTGTGGTCACGGGCAGCATAGTTGCCCATCCCTGGTATAAATTGTGCGATCTGATGGCCAAGCAGATGACGTCTTCTGGCGTCCAGTCAAAGTAGCCCGTGTATTTGAATGGATCTTGCGGCTATTGTGCTGTCACGGAGTCGTCTGTCTGGCCCAGGAGACACACCGCTGACATTTAGCAGGCCAGCTCACCACCACCACCACCTCATTCTGGTGTCTCCCCTCTCTGTCCTTCTCTTGATTCTCCTGCGCTGTCCTCTCTCTCTTTCTCTCTCTCTCTCTCTCTCTCTTTCTCTCTCTCTCTCTCTCTCTCTCTCTCTCTCTCTCTCTCTCTCTCTCTCTCTCTCTCTCTCTCTCTCTCTCTCTCTCTCTCCCTCTCTCTCACTCCTTCACTGCGACGTGATGTGCAAGGAAAAGTGTATGAGCAGTTGCGTTAATGAGTGGCCCTTTAAGGCTATTAAGATAAGATTGGTTCGCCCGGAGTTCCTCATTATAAACATTACCCTTACACAGAATGTTAATTGGGTGGCCGGTGTTTAAAGGGGTAGAGGTGGTTATTAGTAGACACAATCGAATGGTAAACATATAATATGTTTTGTGAGTTGGGGATAAAGATCAGGCTTTGATCAGCACCGTTGGCATCTGTGGAGTCAGATGATGATGATTCGTGGAGAAAAAACATGCATCATATTTATACGTGTTGGGGGGGGGTGCATTGTAGTAGTTTACATCGTTCTGGTTAAATGTCTGCAGACTCGTCGTTTAATGTCACTTCAGTGTGACACCAACGCTACCTGCAGGATAGAAGCTGAACTGCAGTCTCCTTGTAAAAATATATAGAGAGAGAGAGAGAGAGAGAGAGAGAGAGAGAGAGAGAGAGAGAGATAGATAGATACGTATACAGTAATCATCATAATAAATTTAAAAAAGCAGCAAAACTGCAATGCTTCAATTTAATATTTGATTTAGTTCTATACATTTTCCTTCCAAATAAACATGACAAGTAGAAGTAAAAATAAAAGTAACATTTGTATTAGTCAGTGCCCCCAATTATTCTCAATTTTGTATATTTGGAATTATTTCTATTCATTTAATTAACCCTCTAATGTTGGATCAAGATTCACATATATTTTTGTGATGCTAATGACTCGTAGGCATAATTAGATTTGAATGCAGTGCTTTTTCCTCGTGTGTTTTTAAGTTTCCAACCAAAAGTTAAAGAAACAAACTCACTAAATGGGTCTGCTGGAGAAATAATCCAATGGAAATGTAGCTAATTAGGTATAATTGCAATATAATTTGACAGTCAGTTTTCCTTCAGTAAGATTTTGCCTTCAGAGATTTTGATGAATCAAAATGTCGCCTAACGTGTTAAATAACGCTTCAGAATGTCATCAGCTGAATAAAAAAAATGAAATGAGAGTAAAATTTTGCTAGTACATTTTTAAAAAACACAGGTATATCACGGTTGTTAATTGTTTACGTATGTCGTTAGAAGTAGCGCGGACTCCTCATGGCTGCTTTTTAAAATGGTGGAGTTTTGCCGACATCATGTGGAGGAACTTTGAACATCAACAGAGACAAATGACGTTTAGATTTTAGAAATAAAGATGCACACATATATAATTCGTATTAATATTAATGTTCCAGTTTTAGTTCGTATTAATATTGGGATTACATTTTTAGTGTTTGTGTTAGAAATATTTAGGTTTTATATTACTGGTAGTACTATGTTTTTAACTCGTGATTTCTCCACGGATGAGTGCCACTTTCCCATCCATTGTAAATTCAATAAATCATATGACATTTGGGTGAGTACTATAAACTTTAACTAAAAAAACTTCCTCCTATGTGTTATGTTTTTAATATACCGGGTCATCACACTGGTCATTTCATTGGGTACACATAATATTGCATCTCTTGTCTTTATTTTAACAATTTACAGATAATGTCAAACAAGTATGTGGAACATTACATAAGCTATAAGAAATACAGTAACGTATAATGAAACATTCAATGCAAATTAATTGGTAATATTGTAAATTAATCTTCACATTTAATGTATAGATAGATAGATAGATAGATAGATAGATAGATAGATAGATAGATAGATAGATAGATAGATAGATAGATAGATAGATAGATAGATAGATAACATGTTCGGGAGATAACGACTTACCTTTATAAAAGGATGCATATTGCCAAAATGTCATATTGTTTGTCGTCCAATGTTCGGTGACGTTTCTCCTCCTCATTGGAGGCCATGTTTCATCAGCGAAGATGGGCGACACCATTTCATGCCGATGTCCTCACACACACACTAAGAAAATAAGATCTAAATATTCACTAGCGCCAGTGGACATCGCTATATGTGATTCTGAAGAGGATTACGATCTTTGTGTGTGATTTAGACATCGAGATTACAAATCCGGCTAATTTACGTTTAGTTTAGCCTCCAGGCACCCCCCGCCCCCATCTCCCCCCTCCTCACGAGCTCGAGCCTGCTAATAAACACCAATTGACGACGAAGAGACGATGAAAATGGACAGCTGCAACGGGATTCCAACAGAAACGAGGCCCCGCTCTGATTTATGACTACCTTTGTACTCTAGTGCATTTCTAAAGCAACCATGATATTTGCGCTATGGCCGCTGCTGATCCAAATCAGCGCACGGCGGGGGGTCGCGCCGAGCCCAACCGACGAGGGAGCAATGCGGGCTGGCCACGGGGACCACGGAGAGCCGGGCCGCCAGGAGCACCACAAGGACTCGTACAGCACCTTCGCCTCCGAGTTCTTGGAATCTCGATATCTGTCTGATGATGGTGAGCATCCTCAACTCACCTCTAGAGCAACGCAGAAAACGGGTCTTTCAGCACCCAGGCCAGCTCCTCCTGAGGATTAATAACGTAAAAACTGTAAAACAAAAAAACAATGTCAAGGCTCATGTGGAGTCAAAAGCCAAAAAATATGCCTTACGGTTAACCTGAGGCCATTCCGAAGGAGTCGAGTGACAAATTTTATTAAAATGTGTTGCGCATGACAGGTAAATAAAATACCTGCATAAATTTCAAAAAAAAAAAAAAATCTTAAAAAATTAATTATAAATGTGTTGAATGTAAATGTCAAATGCAACTCACCTGTACTGTAAGCAGTGATTCTTACAAGCATCACCTGAGGGAGCTTACTTGTATCACTTGTTTTCTATTGTCAAAATGTCTCTCTGGCACTCACATGCACACTTTGGTTGTCATAACAATGTTACACAAATTTTGACGGAGCATATTTGCAGGTTATCCTTTTCCCACTGCGCCACCAGTGGACCCCTTTGCCAGAATCAAAGTGAGTGACTGTGGTGTGACCAAAGGATGCATCAGGTAAGAGCAAGCTGGAGTCTTTTTTCCATTTTCATTCTTAATTAGTCATGTGATATCCCCCCTTTTAAAATGTAAACAGCATGTAACTTAGAAGATCTGATGGGTTTTGTGTGTTTAGGTATGGAAAGCCTGGGTGCGATGCGGAGACATGTGACTACTTCCTTAGTTACCGTCGCATCGGGACAGATGTGGAGTACGAAATGAGCGCCGACACTGACGGCTGGGTGGCTGTAGGTTTCTCCTCTGACAAGAAAATGGTGAGCAAAAGGACTTTCTTACTGCTCTGAGGTCAGTTCTTAATGATTTTGTCAAGCGGGGCTTTCACTTTCCATGTAATGTTTTTGACTTTTATTTGAAGTATCCATTGCAGTAAATAACCACATTGACTGTTTTTAACATCAGACAACATTTTGAAACTCTGAGACAGAACTCATTGTTTCGAGGAAAACAAAGTGGGTGGTTTAAACATGATGTATGTAAAAAATGTGCCGTATAATGGATTTTTTTTTGTTTTGCTTTGTTTCATTATTTTTAGATCCATTATCCCATACAAAGTGGCTAAGGCAGCTAGGGTAAAATACATAGTGAATATAAAAAGTCTACACACCCCTGTTCAAATATCAAGTTTTTGGGACACAAAAAAATAAATAACTTTTTACACATTGATGTCATCGATAACTTGGAAAATTTAATTGAAAAAAAAAATCTTTTTGCGAGGGGAAACCAAAATAAACAAGTGAGATAATGTGGTTGCACAAGTGTGCACACCCTCACAATTGGGATGGAGCTGTGTTGAGCATTCATCAGTCATATTCAAATCCATGTTAAATGGCAGCCAGCACAACCAATGCCACCATTTAAAGTGCCTCCGCTGAACCCCAAATAAAGTTAAAATGCTCTTAATGACCATTTCCTCATCTTCTCACTCATCACCGATCACATTTCTCAGGGAGGCGATGATGTCATGGGCTGCGTCCACGACGACAACGGCCGCGTGCGCATCCACCACTTCTACAACGTAGGCCAGTGGGCCAAGGAGATCAAGAGGAACCCCGCCAGAGACGAGGAGGGCATCTTTGAGAACAACCGCGTGACCTGCCGTTTCAAGCGTCCGCTCTACGTGCCACGAGACGAGACGCTCGTGGACCTCCACCTGTCGTGGTACTACCTGTTTGCCTGGGGCCCTGCCATACAAGGTGAGTTTTGAGCTTTTATGGTGCGATTTGTCTTTGGCGTCACCCCATCATCGTCTCTTGTCCTTCAGGCTCCATCACTAGACACGACATCGACAGTCCACCCGTAAGCGACCACATGGTCAGTATTTACAAATACGAGGACATCTTCATGCCTTCCACAGCCTACCAGACCTTCAATTCACCCCTTTGCCTATTACTCATAGTAGCCCTCACCTTCTACTTGCTGATGGGAACACCATGAAGGCGGTGGTGGGCGGACAAGATGTAGCAGCAATAAAACAAGTTACTTTTAAGTCTGTGCTTTGCACGCACACACTATATTAGACATTTTAAAACAAAATAAATCTATGTAGTGTAACACAGTATACTTTTGAGGAGTCATTTGCTGCTGCCAATCAAAAGTAACTACTTTGTAATACAAAAGTTTCGCACAAGGGCAGTTATTTTCAGTTATTGCACATGCCAGTAGATAAATTAGTAGCATGTGCTCGGAAATAATCGTCGTGCGGATCATAAAAAGAGCAGATGGCAATCATTTACTGGCTCATGATTATCTTGACTGAAGGACAAACTAAGAAGCATCTTTTTTTTTTTTTTTACTTGATCACTATTTTTTGGCTGGAGCCTATCTCAGCCATCTTCGGGCAGTAGGCGGGGGACACCATAAA